GCAAATAGTTTAGGTCAGACTGTATAAAATGTTCGCAATGTGCTCGTTAGGATTTAGCTAGCATTCAGTTAGCATTCTCTATGGGATTTTACATGTACTTGTTAGCATTGCTAACCTTAGGATTACAAAAGCTCAGTGGGGTTTTTTAATCGTGCCCCTTGTGTTCAGTTCCGGTATTACCGAATATATCTCGGTATGGCACAAGGTCAGTATGAAGGTATGACAATCTGGATACCGGCCAAGCCTAGAGGACAACCCTAAGAAAGTTATGTCAGATAACGTTGGCTTACACTGACATGACATATTAATGATTAGGTCAATATAATGATTAGGTGGCCACTGCCACCTAATGTTCAGTGGTTTGAAATTGTACATTTTTGTATCTCTTACTTATTGAACGCAGGAAACATCATGCTTGACATTATATCATGAAGATTCTGTTATTGTTCATGTCTCGCAAAAGTGGTTTACATAAGTCCTATGAAATATAGATAGATAATAAGCAGATATTGGAGATGTATGCACTTTTTGCAATGGTTAGACAGATTTATAGCATCAAAAATACATTAACGTATCTGTTTCTCCAGTGTGGTTTTCCAGCATTGACTCATCTGTTGTGTGTGTGGTGCAGACTGCTGTATATCTGAAAACGTTGACACAGTAATTCCTGGGTTAGGAATGAAAGGATACAGTCCCGACCAATTGAAACTCTGAGTAGTTGTCACACTTCCAGCTGCTGAACCAATGACAACAGGAATCCTTCAAGTAGGTGAACATGCCTGAAAAAACAAACAGGTTTGATATTTAATCCAGTGAAAGGGGCATAAATGGGACTGGGAAAACCCCTCCACAGGCCTAATGTAACACAAACGTCTATTCAATGTCTACTCTAATGATATTTTATATAGTAGTATTCTAAAAGTAGACTGAAAACATTCCCAGGTGCATTCAGTAGCATTCCTTAACCAGATGAAAACACTGACCTTCAAACTTGAAACATTATTGTGCCTTTCACAGCTCGGCTATGAAAAGCTGACATTAACTTTCTGACACAAAAAAAGCAGTTGAGTGTTCAGTAGATGGGATGGTTTCCCATTGTTTAATGAGCGGGCCACAGTTTTAATTTAGTCTAGGCAAGCAGCCCGCACTTCTAAAATGTATGGAAAGAAGAATAACTCAGCTTGGAGGACTGAGAGAGAAGGAGAAAGAGACTCCGTGCCTCCAAAAGCAACAAGCACAAGCACACTCACAGTTATTATGTTTTTATTGGCAGTGTGAATGTGGCTTAATGGCTAATATTCTAATTCTGCTGAGATTTAAATAAAAGCTGATTTACTTTCCATTGCATTGCATACAGTATCTGAAATGAGAGAGAGAAACATTTGATAAATCTTGCATGGGTTTTAAGAAATATATGGATTCTCTCTGAAATTTGATAAGCCATGGCAAAATGTGTATAATTGCAGGAACTTAGCATTGAAACAGCAATTTATGTCTCATCAGCCCCATGACAAATGTGTAGAATTGCAGGAAACTAGCTTTAAAACTGTCAAATGTTCTCTCTGCCCCATGACAAAATGTGTAGAATTGCAGGTAATTAGCTTTAAAACAGCAAATGTTGTCTCTGCGGCCAAGAGGGCCTCTAAAACCGCGGCATTGCCCCCCCCCGGCATTGTTATCCTCATCAGCCTACACACAATATCCAATAATGACAAAGCAAAAACCGTTTTTTTGAATGTATTAAATATAAAAAACAGAAATACCTTATTTAAGTATTAAGACCCTTTGCTATGACACTCGAAATTGAGCTCAGGTGCATCCTGTTTCCATTGATCATCCTTGAGATGTTTCTACAACTTGATTGGAGTCCACCTGTGGTAAATTCAATTAATTGGGCATGATTTGGAAAGGCACACACAGTTGACAGTGCATGTCAGAGAAAAACAGAGCCATGAGGTCAAAGGAATTGTCCGTAGAGTTCCGAGACAGGATTGTGTCGAGGCACAGATCTGGGGAAGGGTACCAAAACATTTCAGCAGCATTGAACGTCCCCAAGAACACAGCGGCTTCCATCATTCTTAAATGGAAGACGTTTGGAACCACCAAGACTCTTCCTAGTGCTGGCTGCCCTGCCAAACTGAGCAATCGTGGAAGGGCCTTGGTCAGGGAGGTGCTCCAGAGTTCCTCTGTGGAGATGGGAGAACCTTCCAGAAGAACAACCATCTCTGCAGCACTCCACAAATCAGGCCTTTATGGTAGAGTGGCCAGACCGAAGCCACTCCTCAGTAAAAGGCACATAACAGCCCGCTTGGAGTTTGTCAAAAAGCACCTAAAGGACTCTCAGACCATGAGAAACAATACTTTTTGGAGAGACCTGAAAATAGCTGTGCAGCGACACTCCCCATCCAATCGGACAGAGCTTGAGAGGAACTGCAGAGAAGAATGGGAGAAACTCCCCAAAAACAGGTGTGTCAAACTTGTAGTGTCATACCCAAGAAGACTCGAGGCTGTAATCGCTGCCAAAGGTGCTTCAACAAAGTACTGAGTAAAGGGTCTGAATACTTATGTAAATGTGAATTATTATTATTATTATTTATTTTTTTAACTGTTTTTGCTTTGTCAAAATGGGGTGTTGTATGTAGATTGATGAGGGGAAAAAACGATTTAATCAATTTTAGAACAAGGCTGTAACGTAACAAAATGTGGAAAAAGTAAACAGGTCTGAATACTTTCCGAATGCACTGTATATTTGATGTGCATTGTGTTCTGCTCTCTGTGCCATGTGCTGTCAATCACTGACTCATACTGATTAATAGAGAAATGGGAAAATGACTTGCTGTGGTTTCCATTCTTCCCAGCAGGGCTTCCCAACTCTGTTCAGAATTGAAGACATTTAACCAAGAAGAAGTTATGGCCTATAAGAAGGGCTCTTAAAATGTCCTGGTCAGGAAAAACTCCTGGCTCTGATTATGGGATATGAGTGTTGCTCCTGTAGACTGGTGACTCACTTGTTGGAGTTCCCGTGGCTCTGCCAGGTGTGGTACTGCTCCATGATGTCGATGTGGTCCAAGGTGATGTTGTAGAAGTCTGTGAAAGAGATTATAGGAGGCGTGGATATGCTGTTAGCTGTGTCTGGTGTGGACAGGGTATACCATGGCATTAGAGTTTATCTACACGTCTATAAATTACTTTACACCTGAAATATTATCTCTACCCAGGTTCTATATGCATGAAAAACCACTTCACCCCCTGATCTTCACCCTCCTGACAGCACCTGAAACTACAGCCTCCCTTGAACAAATATACTTTCGCTCTGTTTCTGGTAGGCCTAATCAAATCAAATGAAATGTTATTTGCCACATGCGCCGAATAGTGAAATGCTTATTTAAAAGCCCTTAACATTTTATTTTCTTAAAAACTGCATTGTTGGTTAAGTAAAAAATAGATAAGTAAAATAAAATAACAGTAGGGAGGCTATATACAGGGGGGTACTGGTACATAGTCAATGTGCGGGGGCACCGGTTAGTCGAGGTAATTGAGGTAATATGTACATGTGGGTAGAGTTAAAGTGACTATGCATAGATACAGTTGAAGTCGGAAGTTTACATACACTTAGGTTGGAGTCATTAAAACTTGTTTTTCAACCACTCCACACATTTCTTGTTAACAAACTATAGTTTTGGCAAGTCGGTTAGGACATCTACTTTGTGCATGACACAAGTACTTTTTCCAACAATTGTTTACAGACAGATTATTTCATTTATAATTCACTGTATCACAATTCAGAAGTTTACATACACCAAGTTGACGGTGCCTTTAAACAGCTTGGAAAATTCCAGAAAATGATGTCATGGCTTCAAAAGCTTCTGATAGGCTAATTGACATCATTTGAGTAAATTGGAGGTGTACCTGTGGATGTATTTCAAGGCCTACCTTCAAACAGTGCCTCTTTGCTTGACATCATGGGAAAATCAAAAGAAATCAGCCAAGACCTCAGAAAATAAATTGTAGACCTCCACAAGTCTGGTTCATCCTTGGGAACAATTTCCAAATGCCTGAAGGTACCACGTTCATTTGTACAAACAATAGTACGCAAGTATAAACACCATGGGACCACGCAGCCGTCATACCGCTCAGGAAGGAGACGCGTTCGGTCTCCTAGAGATGAACGTACTTTGGTGCGAAAAGTGCAAATCAATCCCAGAACAACAGCAAAAGACCTTGTGAAGATGCTGGAGGAAACAGGTACAAAAGTATCTATATCCACAGTAAAACAAGTCCTATATCGACATAACCTGAAAGGCTGCTCAGCAAGGAAGAAACCACCGCTCCAAAACCGCCATAAAAATGCCAGACTACGGTTTGCAACAGCACATGGGGACAAAGATCGTACTTTTTGGAGAAATGCAAATAGTCCGGGTAGCCATGATTAGCTATTCAGGAGTCTTATGGCTTGGGGGTAGAAGCTGTTAAGAAACCTTTTGGTCCTAGACTTGGCGCTCCGGTACCGCTTGCCGTGCGGTAGCAGAGAGAACAGTCTATGACTTGGGTGACTGGAGTTTTGACAATTTTTAGGGCCTTCCTCTGACACTGCCTGGTATAGAGGTCCTGGATGGCAGGAAGCTTGGCCCCAATGATGTACGGGGCCGTACGCACTATCCTCTGTAGTGCCTTGCGGTCGGAGGCCGAGCAGTTGCCATACCAGGCGGTGATGCAACCAATCAGGATGCTCTCGATGGTGCAGCTGTATAACTTTTTGAGGATCTGAGGGCCCATGCCAATTCTTTTTAGTCTTCTGAGGGGGAATAGGCTTTGTCGTGCCCTCTTCACAACTCTCTTGGTGTGTTTGGACCATGATAGTTTGTTGGTGATGTGGACACCAAGGAACTTAAAGCTCTCAACCTGTTCCACTGCTCAGTCCTATTTTTTTTCCTGTAATCCACAATCATCAGCCTATGTGTGAGTATCAGGTTTTACAGCACATACTGTTTTACACTGTTTTACGCAGCACTGCGGTGTACCCAGAGCCCTGTGAACATCCCCTTTTCCCGATGTTGTGGACATGACTTATTGAAGAGGCCAAGGAACTTGGTGGCAGCCGGAATCCACCAGGAGCACTTGTTCAGAGGGGACAGCTCATCAGGAGGAGCCGGGAACAGACGAGTGGAGATTAAGTGAAGGAGACGCGCCACCAGCTGCCTGAAACGCCTTGGAGTCAGTCTGGGGAGGAGGGAGGAACAGGAACACACACACACACTTCGTTTATGTAACCACAGGCCATAGTCAACTTAAGGTACTGTTTGGGTGTGACTATGTGTATCACGTCCCTGACCTGGAGAGACTGTTATTCTGTAGGTAGTTTGGTCAGGGTGTGAAATTCTATGTGATTGTATATCTATGTTTGGCCGGGTGTGATTCCCAATCAGAGGCAGCTGTCGCTCGTTGTCTCTGATTGGGGATCATACTTAGGCAGCCAGTTTTCCTGCCTGGGTTGTGGGATCTTGTTTCTGTTTGGCTAGTTTCGTTATAGCCCATAGAATGTCACGGGTCGTTGTTTGTTATTTTTGTGAAGTGTTTATTCGTAAATAAAACATGTACGCATACCACGCTGCACCTTGGTCTGACTACTTAATCAACGATTGTGACAATGTGCAGGGAGAAACTGGGCAACTCATACTTAAACTGGATACAGGCTGGGTGTGAGTCATCTCTATGAACATCATAAATACTTCACTACTTAACTCATTCATAACTGTGGGCTGTGTTACTGTGAAACAGACACATGGAATGTTTTATAATGAAAAATGTTTTATAAGACACACTGCAGACTGCACTTAATTTTTAAACCAGTGCACTAGCAAATGGTGGTCAGCCTCGGACAGGGCAGCTATCTGTCTCAGTAGGTGGGCGATCACATAGGTACTGGTGCTGGAATACTGAGGGTTCTAGAAAACAAATAAACACATGTACTCTTTATTAAAAATCCAGAATGGAATGCAAGTGTGCTTAAAAAAGGAACAAGCACCAATATAGGGAAAAGAGAGATTCAAGCAAAAGCTTTAAAAGCTGATGATGGTCCAGTCTGTTTATTAGGTTTCTATGCACTGAACTTCAGCGAAAACCGTAAAACATTCAGCCTCTCCGAAAAAATAGCATCCCACAAGAAACCGACATTCCAGCAATCCAGAATGACCTCAACCTGTCTCCATGGAGAACATGGAACATGACATCAAGGATCTGGCTGATCAGATGTGTGCTGTGTGTCTCCCAGTCCATCAACCACCCAAATTCTCTACATTAACGTTTAACAAGAGAATAGACCTACACTTATAGATAGGCTAAAGCAATTCTATTTTGTATTCAATTTCCTATCTTATTTACAATTGTCCTACACTGTTAGTTACAGCATGTACAGATTTGTTCTGAGGAGTTAAATTAATGACATCACCAGCATTTTCCTTAGAAGGACTAGGGTTACTAGATTTGAGGTTAAGTGAAATAGGTGAAGTCAAATCAACGACTCTAGTCACACAGCTAGCTCAGGGCACAGAGAGTAGTTGTTGCAGTACTGCTGTGCACTGACTGACTGAGACATGACTGGAGTCAATGGGCTGTATGGAGGGGGAGGAGGCCTAAGGATTCCAGCATGTCTTGCTTGGCCTGGCCCACTGTACCGTATAGCTAGGCATTAGACCAACAGACAGAACTACTGTTGCAGTAAAAAGTACTCTGGTGTAAGAGGAACAGAGACACGGTATACTGTAGGTATTAAATTAACATCCACTACCACAGTACACTGAAACGAAACATTCTGAACCAACAAGACTATCATCTTTATATAAGCACCTAGACATCTAAAGAACTACTGTCTCACTATGAAAAACACAGAAATAAGACCACAAAATAAAGCAGACTCACTACACTACAGCCAGAACCATCTTCAGAACTGATGCGAGAGCAGACAGTAGTCCTGCCACTGAATCCAGTGAGCCAGAACTGCCGCCTCTGTATCACTTCACATGCAACCACAGAGGAGTCTCAGTGGAACCCAGAGGCTAGAATACTACAGGGTATATGGGACCCTCACAGTCTCTTTAAGCCTGTGGCAGTGGTGGTTTGGAAAGCACAAAATAACCCACTTTCCACAGGAAATGACAGGGATTAATTGAAAACAAAAATCTGATGATGGGAGCAGTATAGCCATTTTATTTCTGTCCTGAAATTAACGGTTTAACAACAAAGGGATTTACTGATCATTTGCACCAGTCCAAGCTTTTTCCAAAATAAATTATACACAAAAAACAAAGCATGAAACAGAAAACATTATTTTTTACACTTTATAAAATGACACTTTTACATACTTTTAAATACAAAACGTACTAGTGCATATACAGTACTTAGTAAGATGTTCAGTTAAGGAGTAAATGTTACCTGAACTAAGATTAAGTATGCCCTAAGGTCATCTTTCGTTCTGGGTCTAAAAACACAACAAATAGTTTTCAGTGAAAGGAGGAAATGAAAATGTATACAGTCAGCCAAATGAGACATCATATTTCATTATTTAGACCACCCGAAACTGGCACAATGTGGCAACTAAAAATGGCAAAAATTTGAAAATACATTTATTTAATTAGATTTATTACCAGGACGCGTACTCCGAGCATGTGCTGACCAGTTGGTAAGTGTCTTCACTGACATGTTCAACCTCTGACTGACCCAGTCTGTAATACCTACATGTTTCAAGCAGACTACCAGAGTCCCTGTGCCCAAGAATGCCAAGGTAACCTGTCTAAATGACTATGACCCCGCCATTAAATGCTTTGAAAGGCTGGTCATGGCTCACATCAACACCACACCAATTCACATACCACATCAGCAAGACAAAGGAGCTAGTCGTGAACTACAGGAAACGGAGGGCCAAGCACGCCCCCATTCACATCGCCGGGGCTGTAGTGGAGCGGGTCGAAAGCTTCAAGTTTCTCGCTGTCCACATCACTAAGGATCTATCATGGTCCAAACATACCAACACAGTTGTGAAGAGGGCCCAACAACACCTCTTCCCTCTCAGGAAGCTGAAAAGATTTGGCATGGACCCTCAGATCCGCAAAAGGTTCTACAGCTGCACTATTGAGAGCATCTCGACTGGCTGCATCACTGCTTGGTATGGCAACTGCTTGGCATCCGACCGTAAGGCGCTACAGAGGGTAGTGCGCACTGCACAGTACATCATTGGGGCCGAGCTCCCTGCAATCCAGGACATCTCTATCAGGCGGTGTCAGAGGAAGGCCCTAAAAATGGTCAAAGACTCCAGCCACCCAAGTCATAGACTGTTCTCTCTGCTACCGCATGGCAAGCAGTACCGACGCACCAAGTCTGGAACCAACAGGACCCGGAACAGCTTCTAACCCCAAGCCATAAGACTGGTAAATAGTCCGGGTAGCTATTTGGTTAACTATTTAACTATCTGCTTTGACCCTTTTTGCACTAACTTTTTTAACTCATCAAATACGCTGCTGCTACCGTTTACTATCTTTCACTTTGTTCCTAATTATATATAACTATCTACCTCAATTACCTCGTACCCCTGCACATCGACTCAGTACTGGTACCCCTTGTGTGTAACCAAGTTGTCTATTATTACTTTTATTACGTATTTTACTTTTCTATTATTTCTCTATTTTCTTTCTCTCTGCATTGTTGGGAAGGGCCGTAAACATTTCACTGTTAGTCTACACCTGTTGTTTACGAAGCATGTGACGAATAACATTGGATTTAATTTCATAAATACAGCCGGTATGATGCATTTAGCAAAAAAAGGTATAATACTGGCTGTATTTCTGTATTTTGAAATGATATATCTTGAAAACTTGATTGCTGACATGCAAAACATTTTGGGAATATATCAACAATGGACTAATGAAACAAATACCAAAAGATAAAAAAAACATGAGTTAACCTTTAAATCGGGTGAATATGACCCAAATGCTGCTAGTTTCACAAATAACATTTAGGGCAAAAAATCTGAATATGATTTCATTTGTTTATTTTGCCATACGATATCCTTTTCCCTAGACATGTCATGTTAGCAGTACTTACTGTGCAGAGTAAAGTATCATAAACAGCATTCACACATTTTGAGTTGACTCCAGATTCCTCTATTGTGTTAAATATGCCATTAGCTTCTTTCTAAGAAATGAGGAAAATAGGGTTTCCCGCTGTTAAATGGTTTTATTTCAGGGCTTTTTAATGACATCTCAAACGGTTTTCTCACAAGGGGCACCTGCTAGTGCCAAACCCTGGACTTGTTTGGCAGGGAGGACGTGTGTGTGTGTGTGTGTGTGTGTGTGTGTGTGTGTGTGTGTGTGTGTGTGTGTGTGTGTGTGTGTGTGTGTGTGTGTGTGTGTGTGTGTGTGTGTGGACGTGTTTAACTATACTTGTGGGGACCAGAAGTCCCGACAAGAATAGTAAACCAAGAAACATTTGACCAACTGGGGACATTTTGTTGGTCCCCACAAGGTCAAATGCTATTTCTAGGGGTTTAGAGTTAAGGTTAGAATTAATGTTAGGGTTAGGAGATAGGGTTAGTTTTAGGGATAGGGTTAGGAGCTAGGGTTTGGTTTAGGGTTAAGGTTAGGTTTTTGGGTTAAGGTTAGGGTTAGGGTTAGGGTTAGGGGTTAGGGAAAATAGGATTTTGAATGGGACTGAATTGTATGTCCCCACAAGGTTAGCTGCACAAGACTGTGTGTGTGTGTGTGTGTGTGTGTGTTGAACCATTCTCGCATGACGCCAACAAAACAAGGCTCGGACCGTTATGAGCTGTATAGATGATGAACAGTTTTTCTGTTACATTACGCACTATTGGTTTCCTCATGAATAACACTTTCCAGAACGAGCACATGCTGTTCTGTATGCTTTCCTTCTTAAGAGAATTCACAACAGAGAAACAGGTGCTGCAAATATCAATAATTTAAGAAGTGGAACTAATCTAAACCAAAGGATTTAGAATATAAAAAAATTGGTAAGTTATTTTGGGGAAAAGCCTAACTCACAACATAAAACAAAAAGCCAGCAGGAACCATTTGAAAAGCAATTACCTTGAAGGCAGCATTGATCTCTAGAAAGGAGTCAAAGGTGGTCAGGTAGAAATCCCTCACATCCCTCCAGTCCCCTGAGATTGTGGCTCGCTCTATGTCTTCCCTGCAACACCGTGGAAACAATACATCAATAAATCATTGGGGGGAAGTGTGTTGATGGAGAACCTCTGTTTCTGCCTCACATCACTGGAAATAGGAGGTAGCTCCCTCCCTGGGAAATTACAAAAGACACATAGTTCTCTCTACATAGAGTATCATACACACGACTATTGTGTACTGTGGCAGATATGTAAATAGTTTTTTCACCGCTTGCAAAGACACAGATGGGATACATACAGTCGTTTCCACAATGCACATGATTCACAAGGCTTTGATAGCGAGATCCTCAGACTGCGACTTGTTCAGATTGGCTTGACTAAGAAAACCAAGCCATTATCCACAACACAATCAGTCTATAATCATATAGTACATTCACTGCATGACCTTCAGTTGACCCCAGCTGACCTTCCATTAAATGTGGACACACATCATTGTCTCTACCCATCTTTTTCACAATCTAACAGGCTAGGACTACAGTGTATTTAGACTAATAACAACTTACCCACAAACAGAATCAATGCAGGGGTTGGGAGAGACAAAATCGTCTGTCCTCGGTTGCAACACTCACTACCGAGTTCCAAACTGCCTCTTGAAGCAACGTCAGCACAATAACTGTTTGTCGGGAGCTTCATCAATTGGATTTCCATGGCCGAGCAGCAGAGGGCTCTAGCCTTAGCACACGAGGGACATTTGGGCATTGTAGGCACAAAACAACATCTCAGGAGTAAAGTATGGTGGTCGGGCATGGACAAGGCTGCAGAGAGAAACGTCAAGTCATGCCATGGTTGTCAGATTGTAGCACGACCAAATGTGCCAGAACCTCTGAGACCCACAGCGCTACCTGATGGGCCGTAGCAGGACGTCGCCACTGACCTATTGGGTCCACTACCAACAGGACACTCAATAATAGTAGTTGTAGACTATTACAGCAGATATTATGAATATGATATGCAATCTATTACCGCAGAAAAGGTGATTGATAGTCTGAAGTACGGCTGTTGCGGTGACCGCATTACCGCCACACCGGCAGTCACGAGTCAAGGCAGTCAAATACCACGTGACCGTTTAGTCACGGTAATTAGGCTTCTCCTTGCTCTGATGCTGCTGATGGTCATTAGTAGCCTACCAAACTTGCTAACTGCCTGGTACTAAGCACTCTATTGTCCCTCTAATCACTCTGACATCAATGTAAATGAATTCGAAAATCTAATCAAAAACTTAATGAGAGCCCATGAGCACATGTTGCACAACATTTCAATAGGCTATGCAATTGTGCGAGAAAACAGAGTGATGGCCTCTACTAAAAAGAGGAGGATCAGCTTTCTATAGGCTAGGCCTACTATATTTCTTTTTCAACTTTCCTAATATTAAGCACATTGCTTATATTTACAACAGGAGTATAGCCTACCTGGCTGGCATGACAATAAACCACAGGGAAAAGCGTCCTCCATTCGCTATTTAAGTGCATAGATTACGTATTTTTTCCCGCTGCCCCTGTTTCCATACAGGTGCATGATAATGGTCCATTCTAAATCAAAACAAATGTCACACATATATTATTTAGTATATGTAAAGACAAGATTAAATCAAGAATAGTCTGATGGGTGACAACATTAGCCTATCAGTTGTGAATTATATATTATCACTTGTGAATGATGCCCAGCATAAGAAACAATGCCTTTTTTTTCAACTTTTTCTAATCGTAGTTGCACACCTCATGTAGCCTAGCCCATAGGCCTATATGTTTTAATAAGGTTTGTATCACTACTAAAGTGGCCAAATAACTTATTAAAATTAAGCACATTAATTCGCTTTACAAGGATACATAAGCAGCGCGTGAGTTTCAAGTTTGGGGAAGATAATTGTCACCATAAAAATGCACCTTTATAATAAAAGCATTACATGCATAATCGCATTTGTGGTCACATTTGATAATGGTGTTTTCCCGCTGATGGAACATTTGCGCTTAAAGCCTACTGCCGTGTGCGCATCGCTGCGCTTATAATGTGAAGAAATAGCCTAATAGTTTATCAATATTTTAAGCTAAACGTTCTGATCTGTTGGGTCAGCCTTATTGCGTAAAAATGTTTTTTTGATTCTAGTGGTTGTATTAATTTGGGATCTATCGCATCCCACAACTGTCCCAGACTATGTTTGGAATATTTATTTCTCGCACTGTCACGCCCTGACTCAGGGGACGCTTATATGTTGAGTCAGGGTGTGTATATTCCTTGTTGTGCGTTTTCTATGTTTGTGATCTAGTATGTATAGTGCTATGTTGGCCAGTGTGGTTCCCAATCAGAGGCAGCTGTCGCTCGTTGTCTCTGATTGGGGACCATACTTAGGCAGCCTATTGGCACTGTCTAGTTGTGGGATCTTGTTCCGTGTAAGGTTTGTTTTCTGTACTACCTTGGACTTCACGTTTCGTTTCGTTTATTGTATTGTCGTGGTGTTTATTCAGTTAAAATAAACATGTATGCATATCACGCTGCGCCTTGGTCTGACCCGTCATTCAATGAGCGTGACACGCACATAATAGAATAGGTCGACTTTTGTACTATGGGGGATAGTAGATTGACATAGGCTAATGCTTTTGCTGTTCGTTAGGCCTACTCATCTTGTTGGCTGACGAAAAGTAATTGTGGACAGTACTTCCAATATCTTCAATATGCACCTCGGAATTGGATAAGGACATGCACAGTTGCATTCCCAATGTCTTCACTTGTAGCCTGTGAAAAACACCTGATCACTTGATGGAGAGCAATGTGAGTGAGATCAAAGGTGCTTTGGAGTGGGCAGCATTTAGGGCTGCAAAAGGCATGGATTTATTTTGGGTGCATTATGGCCACACAAAGGGGATGCCACCGGGAAATTCAAGGCGTTATCAAGTGCTTCTTTGTGAATGAGAGACTGACGAAGTGTGTACAGCCTGCGCAAAAAAACAAAGCAGAGCTCATGCCTTTCAAGTTACTTTTTTCAAATCACCATTAGAGTTGCATCATGCAGCCTTACAATGTATTAAAATTCAAAACATATAGCCCAATGTTTGTAGAACAACTAAAGTTATATTAATAACTCTAAATTAAGCATATAGGAGTACCTATTTCTTTGTTAACTGCTCAACACAGAATAGCTGCATGTGCACACTCCCTCAAATCATTTGGAGAAGATATCCTTTCTATTTTATTCAGCTTTGTTCAATTGTATTCTTCATACTATAAAATAATATAAAATAATGCCACGGAATTCTAAGCAAATCTTGTCTGCTAAATGAACTAGTGTAGCCCACAGCCATTTGGCATAGCCAGATCAGGACCTAACATAAGGACAACTCAGAGTATGCTATTCTGTTCTTCTGAAATAGACTACATTGTTTTCATATCATGCTTCTTTAGACCTGTCTAAAATAAATTATGGATTTATTGTGAAGGTGTAGGCTATATTACATACATTTATTAGATATATATATTTACTACATAGCTTGTAGGCTATGTGTGGAAGCCAGGAGATGCTAAATGTGTTTATGTTAATTAACGGTTAATTACCGTGAGACCGACAGTTATTTGCTTGACAATCACCGGCTGATGAAATTTCGTGACTGCCACAGCCCTAGTCTGGAGACAATTTTCAGTCGTCATGGTCTACCATTAACAATCCAATCTGATTGTGGCCCACAGTATATGTCATCCCAGTTCCAGAACTTCTTCCAGGAATATGGGATACAGCATGTAAAAACGATGCCAAAATTGGCACAGGCAAATGGTGAAGTGGAGCGGCAAAATGCCTCCCTCATGAAACGGATTCGCATTGCACAAGCTGAGGGGCTGGACTGGAAGAGGGAGCTACACAAGTACGTGACAGTCTACAGGTCCATTGATCACTCTCCCACAGGCAGGAGCCCAGCTGAGCTCCTTTTCAAAAGGAAAATGAGGGGGAAGCTTCCGGATATAGCTACACCCCTGAGTGACCTGGAGACACGGGACTATGATGCTGAGCAGAAAAGGAAATTAAAGATCTATGCAGACAACCGTCGCAGAGCCAAACACTCTGACGTGGACATCGGAGAACAGGTTCTCCTAAAACAGGACAAAACAGACAAGTTCACAACAACTTTCAACAAGATACCACACACTGTGATCAATAAAGAGGGAAACAATGTGGTTGTTCAATCTCCATCCGGAGCCAGGTATTCCAGGAATACAACATTCGGGAAGAGGTATACAATTGAGGAGCTAGATCCACAACCAAAGGACACCACACAACTGAAAGAGACTGTGGAACAGAGTCCTACTCTGAGATATTACATAGAGTCCAAACCAGAGACTATCTGTGAGGGATCACCACAAAGACCACAGACATACAAGCCAGTCAGGCATCACAGACAAATTAAACTTCCACAGAAGTTAACAGACTTTGTCATTAAAAAATGATCCTGTACTGCAAGGGGTAACGAAAACTAATATAAACTGAAAAATGACAAGTACAAAGGACTAATGCGAAGGCTCAATGTTTGAGTTATGTTGTGAAAAAGGTGCAGAATGTTTCGTTACAGTCAGGAAAAAATAGAATAATCATAATATTGTTTTGTTAAGAAGTAAGCTTAAAAAGGAAAGTCTATTAGGAGAAGAGAAATAATAAGACGAACAGATTTCAATTGTTTATTGGTAACACAAAGGTTGTTATACAGGTAAAGAATTAGTGTTATTGTGTACAGTGCATTCGGAAAGTATTCAGACCCCATGACTTTTTCCACATTTTCTTACGTTACAGCCTTATTCTAAAATGTATGTAAAATGTATCTCATTAAACTACACACAATACCCCATAATGAAAAAGCAAAAATGTAAAACGGAAATATCACATTTACATAAGTATTCAGACACTTTACTCAGTACTTTGTTGAAGCACCTTTGGCAGCGATTATATCCTCGAGTCTTAGGTTTGATGCTACAAGCTTGACACACCTGTATTTGGGGAGTTTCTCCCATTCTTCTCTGCAGTTCCTCTCAAGTTCTGTCAGGTTGGATTGGGAGCATCGCTACACAGCTATTTTCAAGGCTCTACAGAGATGTTCGATCAGGTTCAAGTCCGGGATCTGGCTGGGCCACTCAGGACATTCAGAGACTTGTCCTGAAGCCATTCCTGCATTGTCTTGGCTGTGTGCTTAGGGTCGTTTCCCTGTTGGATGGTGAACATTTGCCCCAGTCTGAGGTCCTGAGCGCTCTGGAGCAGGTTTTCATCAAGGATCTCTCTGTACTTTGCTCCTTTCATCTTTCCCTCGATCCTGACTAGTATACCAGTCCCTGCCGCTGAAAAACATCCCCACAGCATGATGCTGCCACCACCATGCTTCACCGTAGGGATGGTGCCAGGTTTCCTTGAGACGTGACGCTTGGCATTCCGGCCAAAGAGTTCAATCTTGGTTTCATCAGACCAGAGAATCTT